AGACACCCAGCATTTAACGGTGCCATAAAACAACCCTTGTGGCAGCTTGGCACACCTAAGTCCAGCAGGACCCCTCACTCCTCGGAGTCTCTGGGGTGCCTGCTGGGGAGTTGCCCTCTGGCCCACTCATCCTTGTTGCTGTGACACTTCCCCCAGTATCTAGTCTGTTCCCTGCCACAGCTCGGTGCCATTGCAGCATGTTGCCTGAGCCTGTGCCAGTTCAGACAAAGCTGGCTGGGATGATTTAGTTGGGGTTGGTCCTGCTTTGAGCAGGGGGTTGGACTAGATACCTCCTGAGGTCCCTTCCAACCCTGATAGTCTATGATTCTATGATTCTTAGAGTGCTGGGAAGCTACATAACACCACCTTTCCCCCCAAACGGTCAGTAATTACCATCTTTAAGATGGGGGGGGACACACTTTCTAAAGACCCTCTCCAGCTAACAGGAAAGGGAACGAGGCCTGTTGTTACAAGGAAAACCTGACATTGCAAATGCTTCAACTCTTTTAATAAAAGGTGAAGAGGATTGTCAATGGTGTGTTTGCCGTGGGACTAAGCAGGCTGAGGTCTGTGTGCCAAGCCCCAGACGGGGACATGTTAACACTTTGACTCTCGGGGACCATGTATTCCATTGAAATTAACACAGCAGGGCCCTGCAGCTGCTCAGGAGGGTAACGCGGGGTCCTATGCTGCTTTCCCAGTCCCTCAGGGAGAAGAAGGGGAGCCTCACTCAGCCTCAGTCTCATGGGGATGTGTTAAAAGAGCGGCCACACTGGGTCAGACCAATGGTCCATCTAGCCCAGCAGCCTGTCTTTTGACAGCGGCAATGCCAGGTGCTTCCGAGGGAACGAACAGAACAGGCAGTCACTGAGCGATCCATCTCCTGTCAGCCAGACCTGGCTTCTGGCAGTCAGAGGCTTGGGGACACCCAGAGCACGGGGTTGCATACATTCCTGACCATCTTGGCTAATGGCCATTGCTGGACCTGTCCTCCAGGAAC